CATAAATAAAAACCGTCAATCTTTCTGGATGTTATGGTGTTTCATGGACCACTCTTGGATTTGACTCATTCCAATAACGACAATTTTCTGGCAATGTTACCGAACCACAGTAGGGCGGGATTTTTACACAGTCCACAGCTCCTCCTATTTGTCACTACTCAGGCTCAGTGTCCAACGGCTCTATAATTACAGCCATCGTCACTTTTAGCAACCCTTGCTAGCTTTTTTAGTCTTGGTAAAAGACCATAATGAAGCATATAGCTTTCAGAGTTATACCTCTTACGTGTACCTACTTATCATGGCATGTAAAGCACAACGTTCCCCATTTTTCATTTCTGTTCGAATTTGTCAGATCAACAAGGAGGCTAAGATGCTCGATTAAGATTACGCTGTTATACTTCGAATCTCATTTAGAGCCGGACAGGAAAAGAATTGAAAAAAAAACTCGTGTTGTTCGGAGAGATACAGGTAAATAGTCGGATGGTATTGAATGATGGGCCAACATTTCATTATAATATTAAAGGTGGGCGATGATCATTTTTCGACGGTGAACAACGCGGCCCTGTTTGAGTTATTGGAAAGAATACGGCATTGCCGCTGTTGTCTCGACGCAAACCTGGGTCAGTCGACTCACCGGGTCACAGGTCGCCTTTGCTCCCTGGCACAGGGATGGACTGAGGTATCTGCTGCGTAATCATGATAATTGTTACAAACTGAAAACTCATTTCACGGAAACACTCTGTGTACTTGAGTTGTTGTGTTAGAACCATCAAGGGAAACAGAAATTTGGTTCAGTTACCAACCGGTAGGTGGCGGCGCTGTCGCCGTGGTTACTGTCTCCGTTTTGAATGACTACCAGAGACAAAGAATTTTAAGGACAGTAGACCTCGATGCGCGCGTACCCCAATCATTCAATTTAAACTGACCTTTATCGTTAATAATTACTATCCCATCATAGGCAGAGATGGCAATAACATAATTTTGTTTGAATTGGGAATTATTTGCTACAATGACATTCCTAGAGAAGACGGTTCATCATCGCGACAGACGCCAGTTGCTTAGATCGCAACAGAAATTAAACATCAAGCAGAATTTCTTTTAAAGCTTCTTTGGATTTTAATAATGACGCATCTTCAGCTGGGATCAGAAGAAATATATAGTTGGTTGCATAGTAAAAGTACGTTTTTTGCGATGTGCGGTGGCGATCGATTGAAAATGGTCAGACTTAAGAGTACATTTATAGGTGTACATATTATCAAGTTAAGATCACAAATATGTGACCATATTTTCTAAGACAATGAACACGATCTTCCGTTGCAGCGTCTGAACAGGGGGAGTTAACAACCAAGAAATATGATATCTTTGAAAATACCAGAGTTTTACGCAGGTGTTTTCTAGCAAATTTATGTATGTGGCTTCATTGGTTTACTCGTTCAACAAGTTTCAAATTTTCATCCAATAAGCTTAAATTCTTAAAATGAATTATTTTATTACTCTTTAATGTTGTATTTGTGGAATTTTTGTTTTTTTACATTTCTTTTTAAATGGCTTAGCTGAGATTATGTTTTCAGCTATACCGTTCAATTTAGTCTTGGTCTTGTTTTGTATTTGTATTATTATTCACCGTTTCATCATTTTCAGTCATCAGTTCTACACGCATAGAACATCTATGTATCGTCCGCAAAAAACTGTATGCTGCATGAATTTATCTCTTTTTCTAAATCAGAGGTATATAATGAAAATTGAAAATAATATGGGCCTTAAGTCAGATCGCCGTGGTAGACCGGAATAGTTGATGAAATATGTCGATTTAGACGAACTTTTTGGAAACGATTTCCAAAATTCGTATGAACTTCGTATGAACTAAAAAAGTTTTTTCAGAGAAACCATATTAACTGATTACCGGGAGACTCAGGGTCAGATCTATAGACATTCCTTGATGCTTCAGGCTGCCTTGAAAACAATGAATCTCACCTTGGAAACGGTGAAACCATGACGCATCCTTGAGGAACGTTCAAGGGAGGATATGAATTTTTATTTCACGGTAGGCTGCAGACGCAGACACAACTGATAGACTACTCGTACTATCAAGAAAGAAAAGTATACTAAGTGACATATAAATCCGAACACCCAGTTTAAATGGTTTTATTTTAATAAAATTTTGTATAAGTACTAATGAAGCATAATAAGTAAATGATAAAAATTTCAAAATGATTGCACTGCTTTAAAGCCCTTTGACCTTTAATAATGTGTGGATGCATCCTGATGTGCTACGCATTCTCCAACGCGCCTAGGCATGCTTCTGATCAGGTGGTCAATGTCCTCCTGTGGTATCTCATTCCAGGTAACCACCAACTCCTCTCGAAGTGCTTCTAGAGTCTGAGGAGGACATTGCAAATTGAGCAATCTCCTACCCATTATATCCCACACGTGCTCAATTGGGGATAAGTCGGGATATCTTGGTGGCTATGGTAACAATGTGACATTATTATGTTGAAAGAAGTCTATTGTGACTCTTGCAACATGTGGTCGGGCATTATCTTGTTGGAAAGTTGGATCTGCCAGGGTGTCAAGATAGGATAAAAGATGGGGCTCTAGAACTTCGTGGATATAACGCTGCGCGTTCATGTTACCTCTGATGAAGATTAAAGGTGACCTGGAACCATAAGCTATAGCACCCCAAACCATAACTCCAACAGTGTGATAAACATGTCTTTCAAAAAAACTGTGGATTCCTCCTTTCACCACGTCGCCTTCTAACCCTGGCACGACCATCGTGCATGCCTAAACAAAATCGAGACTCATCACTAATGACAAAACTGTTCCATTCCTGATCCCAGAGTGACCGTTGTCTGCTCCACTCAAGGCGATTACGTCGGTGTTCTCGTGTTAAAGGGAGGACCCAGTGTGGCCGGTATGAAAACAAGCCAAAACTTCTCATTCGTCGGTAAACACTTCGCATGCCAATAGGTCTTCCGTGTTCTGCAAACCATTCATTTGCAATGGACCTGGTAGTGGAGAAACGGTCCCTTAAGGCCAATAATCTTAGGCGGCGATCTTCACGGTCTGTTGTTCTACGGCGGCGTCCAGTGCCCCTTGCTCTTTGCGTACGGCCTTCTCGAAGCCATGCCTGACAACACCTAACCACAGTGTCTACACTTCTTTGCACTCTAAGTGCAATTGCCCGAAAAGAAAGTCCAGCTTCCCGAAGTCCCACTATACGGCCCCTATCAAACTCACTAAGTTGACGAAATCGTACAGGTCTCCGTACTCTAGGCATCGTAACCGATCGTAAAGGATGTCAAGAACCAAAATCCGCTAACGTTGATTCTTTACTGCGACTAAAATATTCATTTTTAGAGCGTTAGTGAATTAAAAAAAAGCAGTATAAAAACCGGAATGTCCAACTGATAAGGCTGAAAGTTTTTTCACTTGTTATTTACAGTAAGATAAATACATTCACCAACTTTTATTAAAATAAAACCATTTAAACTGGGTGTTCGGATTTATATGTCACTTAGTATACATTAATTTAACATCTTACAGTTCACAACATTGATCTCGAAAAAAGAAATACAAGAAATATTCCACTTCGCAGAGAATGGAAACAATCAGTTACTTGTATAAATGCGTAATGTCAAATTCCAAATTGCTTTAAGGTCATCTTTAACCCTTTTTTGAAGTTAGTTAGGCTGGATTCTTTATACTCAGTTGACAAGCAATTATATAGTTTGGGTGCCCAGTACGAGAAACTACGTGTGAACAGTGCTTTCGAATGCGTAAACTGCAACCAGCACAGCAGTTCGGTGTCACTGGTTGCCTATCCTATGTTCAGTTTGTTATTTTTCTGTGATTAATTCGAGGAAGCAACCACATTGCATTGTTTATTGGTATTAAGCACGAATACACTAAATCGTCCTAATTTTGTCATAAAAATGGTAAATAGATACGGCCAACAAAGAAAAATCTTTCTGGCATCGATGACAGCTTGTGATGTCAAGTGTTACAGTATACTGTGAAACGAAATGAAAATTTGAATCCTTCCCTGAGCGTTCCTTAAGGAAGCGTCATTGTTTCATTGATTCCAAGGAGAGATCCATTGTGTCCAAGGAAGGTCTATGAATCTCTTACTCGACCTCCGAAAATACACGAAATTCCCATATCTCGAGGTAGGTGTTGCTGGTATGCGAAATGTTCAAGTCCACCCCTGCACTACCCCTCTCGCCCCTCGACACCCTGACCAAACGGAATGCGAGAGACCTCGTCCTCGAGATCCCATGTGAATCTTCAGTGTACCGTACCCGAAGAGCAGTGTATAACCAGACTGGAACTCTTCTTCGGCCGGACCAGTCCTTCTCTCTCTAAATTATGACGGACGGCCGACCACAGAAATATATGCAAGACACAAATTTATGATTTACTAATGAGATAGGTAATTATACAGGTTGCCCGAGAAGGAACCGAGGAAATCGTGGGAACACCAACAGCTCTTGTCTCACCTCGAGGTACGCTTTTATAATATTACGCAAGTCAGTGCGCGGTTATGACCATATCAAATATTTAGAATCAAGGTCAAGAAACTTTCTAGAAATGATGAAAACTGATAATAAGAAAACATTGATACAACATTAAGTGATTGCTTCAATTTTAAGAAAACTCATCTTATTTAGCTCAAAATTAAATAGATCCATTGTTCTATCAGGTAACCAAATTAAGTTCGTGCGGTTTTTAATAGAAAAATATAAATTTTAATTAAGAATCAATAAGACACTATTTATTCGTCGAAGTAATTACCATCACATTCAGTGACCTTTTGCCAACGTGGAACCAATTTTTGTATGCCGGCATTGTAGAAAATTGGAGGACTGACTGCATTTATTACACCATCTCGAGATTTGAACTGTCGGTGCCTCATACAGTTATCAGGAGACAAGAAAAGGTGATAATCACTGGGCAAAATGTTGGGAGTATATGGCGGATGCGGTTACGTTTCGCAGGCGAGTTCAGAAATTTTTTCTCGGATCACTTCTGGGGTATGAGGCTTGGCGTTATCCTGCATGAATATCACTTTTCAGATTGATCAAAGAAGGATGTTTCTGGATGAGTGCTGCTTGTACTCGTTGAAGCTGCTCACAATACAAGTTAGCAGTGATGTTTTGACCCCTTTGCAAAAACTCATAATGGACAATTCCAGTTCCTGCCCACCAAACACACAACAAAAAATTGTTTGGGTGCAAAGAATCCTCAACCGTGTGGGGTACCGAATCGGTAAGCGACAACCAATGATACGAATGCTTAGAATTCGAACACGAGATCGATTTTTCGTCGCAGGTTAATAACCGATTAAGAAATGGTTCGTTAGCGTTGCGTGAAATGTTTGCTGAGCAAATGGTAAGACAACTTAATTTGTTATCATTTGTCAGTTCATGTGGGACCCATTTGCTTAACTTCCACGTCTTTCCTAGCTGACCAAGATGCAAACGAATAGATTCAGGACTCACTCTGAACATTTCTGCGAGTTGTTGGCAGGTTGCCCTGGAATTTGCGTCCACAACCTGACGAAGATCCTCGTTGTTCATGATTTTTGGTCTCCCTGAGCGCGGTTCATCGCTCAAACTGAGATCTCCCGAAGAAAATGGTTTTAACCACTTCTAACGGCATCATCTCCGAATGCGGCACATATTTTTCGCGCCGCCGCTGCTGCTTTTGTACCAAGTTTGTACTCATACAGTAAACAATTTCGAATTACTATTTTATTCGTAGCCATTTTCCATTATTAACACTATCTATGTAACAATTTTCAGCAACTTTTTAAGTGTGTGAGAAAAGAAAGATTCATACTAAAGTGACAACAGGTAACAAACAATCGCCATCGATCAACAACATCCATGGCAATGTGCGATATACGGCAACCGCACGAACTTATTATATGTGATATATTAGATATTACATGTGATATAAAGATATAATTATGGCAATGTCGAAAGAACTAAGATGTGAAGCTTTATCGGAAAATTTAAATATATTTGGTTTTTGCAACATTTGGTTGCAAAGCTGAAAATCCATAATTTTGGTTGTATCTTATTGCGCACTGTGTGTCGTTATTTATCTAAGACTGAGCGGACAAGGGTGCTTGATGAACACCTTTTCAGGAAGTTATATTTTTTCAGCCCAGGGATTTCTTTATACAGTGGGTCGCTAAAGTAACTTTAACGCCTGTACACACTTATTTGATGCGGCTGCGGCTTCAACAACCTGGCACCCAATGATTAGTACGGTGAATGTTTTTATTTTTATGTCCATCTGAAGAATAGCCGGTAAAGATAACATTTTGTGCGCATCTCAGATAGTAAGCGTTCTTGTTCCAGCATGTTAGAGCCACCTTGGGCGCTTTTTTCACCTTACGTCCTGGCTACGTAATAGTTATACCTATATGTATCCGAGGTTTAAGAGCCGCGGGCTACAAAAATTTTAAGTAGCTGTTGAGAATAACTGGATCGACAGAAATATATCGCTGAGCGCCTCCTGTTGCAATCGTTATTTAACAACAAATAAATAGGGATAGTTGCGGTCGATAAGCGTAGATCAATTTGAAGGTACTGGGCGCTAGTTGCTTTATCGCCCGAGGGCGTAAAAAGTTCGTAACCTGAAAAGCGAAGCGCATGGAAAACATATTCAGTACAGTTTACTCTCGATTTTGATAAAAATGTTTCCTGCTCAGTATTTATTGTGATCCATACCATTAGTATGTATTGATGAGACCGTCAATGTCATTGGATATCTACCTAACCTTATACTACATCAATAAATGTTAGCATGATCAATATACAATATCGCAGGAAATAATGAACGCGTAGCATTTGTCTAAAATTTGCAACGGCACATTGAGGTGAAATTGAAATTACAAAATTTAAACCGTTTTAAAATTTTACAAAAGGCCTTGGAACGAAGCCAGGCTAACAGAAATTTATAAACATACATGCATTCTCACTTGTACTTTACTATATACAGGGTGGCGCATCGAAAACGAAACAGAAGCAATTACTGGCAGATCAGTTTTTTTTTAAAAACGCTCAGACCCGTCGATTTTGTTTTCGAGGGGGACACAAGTTTGGCAAAAAATCACGTTAGCACGTGCAGCCCCCTAAGCGGGGTTGACCCCACCCCCAAAATCTTAAACGGAAAGGGGGTCGAGTGATACCTTATTTTAAAGGTCTTTCAATTCCCTTTATGATGATATAAAATTAATGTACTTCAGTTCAGTAGTTCTAAAGATTTACTGATTTAAAGCTTAAATAAAACTCTTTTTCGCAGGTCTTCTAATGATGTTGGCTGAGTAGCACAGATTTTGCTTTTTAAATGACCCTACATAAAGAAATCCAAAGGTGATAAATCTGGCGATCTTGGGGGCCATTCAATGGCACCTCTTCTACCAATCCATCGATCTGGAAACGTCTGATCTAAATATTGTCGAACACGTAATGCGTAATGTGGTGGGGCATCGTCCTATTGGAACATCAACCTATTCGCAATGTACCGCCGATCATTCTGATTTCAATTATAGCTGTTAATGCAGGATCTATGGCGTCTTCCAGTAATTCCAAATACATTTCACCAGTGAAATTTTCACAAGTTATTTTAGCAACAAAGTTTGGTCAAACCAATTGCAAACTATGTACTAAATTCCTATTTAAAATAAGTGCGAGACATTTCCTGATCTTTCTTCAAGAAATAACTTTTTTGTCACAAAAAAAGCTCCAATAGCTATTTTCAACAACAAAATGATAAACAAACCATGGGCGTAGTGAAGAAAAGCACTTATTAAGTAAATTCTTTTAGTTAAATTTCTTCTGAAAGTAGTAGGGGAGAGTCCTACAGTACCGGCCGGCATCCAGTACCAGCCAGTTGCAAATTCTACAACCTGACAACAGATGGCGCTGAAATTTTTATCGTGATTTGTGCAATACACTCACGGGATGATATTCCCCGCGCGGCGTTAACTTGCAACGACAAGTTTACTTCCAGTTCAAAGATTTTAGTTGCGCGTGATGGACGCTAACTACGTAATTAAAATTCTATTCACAATTTTCGAAGTTCAGAGATCCAGTTTAAAACAAATAACTACTGGTAAGTAGAGTGTACTTATATATCTATAGAAAAGTGTCTTTATAATTAACCTTTGTACATTCATGTTCGTTAGAAATCGAATTTAGTTTTTTTTTCGTTTCCTCCAGTACCGGACATAATGTTGTCCTACAGTACCGGCCATTCTATTAGATCGTTTTTAATTGTTTTGTTTTACTTTCAGATATACAAAAATGTCAAGTCACGGGAATGATGGTCAGACAACGCAAAAGAAGGGCACCTGGGATCCTGCCAACATGCATAAGGCCGTGGAAAAGGTACTGAATCATAAAATAAGTGCTCGTCAAGCCGCAGAACGCTATCAGGTACCACGATCTACTTTGAATGATAGAGTTAGAGCTATTAAAAGTAATAAAGAGATGTCTATTGAGCCAGTTATGGGTCGTTTTCACAATACTTTTGCACCAGAACATGAAGAAATATTGGCATCGCATGTTAAAGACTTGGCCAACAGGCTAATGCCTTTAAACAGACAAGAATTTTTACGTCTCGCTTTCCAACTGGCCGAGAAATTAAAGTTACCTCACCAGTTCAATAAAGAGAAACAATCTGCAGGGAAAAATTACTATTATTCGTTTATGAAAAGACATAGTGACTTATCAATGCGAACTGCTGAATCAACGAGTTTAATGAGAGCAGTAGGATTTAACAGGCCTCAGGTTATGCGATTCTTTGATGGTCTTGAGACTTTGATGGAGAGATTTAAATTCACACCTTATAAAATATGGAACTGTGATGAGACTGGAGTTAGCATTGTTCAAAAACATGCTAAAGTGTTAGCTACTAAAAACCAAAGGCAAGTCGGAAAGCTTACGTCAGCAGAACGTGGAAAGAACGTTACAGTGCTTTTTGCAATGAGCGCTGGAGGTCAGTTCGTACCACCTTATTTCATATTTCCACGAAACAGAATGAATGAAAGACTAATGATTAATGCTCCAAATGAGAGTGTAGGTGAAGCTCAACCAAACGGCTGGATGAATGCCGAATTATTTTTGAAATGGATGCAACACTTTGTGCAATATTCTAATCCAACAGCCCAGAATCCCGTACTCTTGATTCTAGATGGGCATGCTAGTCATAAAGACTTAGATGTCATTGAGTTTGCCAGAAAAAATAATATTCATATGTTAAGCACCCCACCTCACACGACCCACAAGTTACAGCCACTGGATCGTACGTTCATGAAGCCATTTAAATCTGCGTACAATGATGCATGTGACTTGTGGATGAGGGCAAACCCTGCTATTAGAATCAGTGAATACGAGATTGCAGGGTTTGTTGCTATTGCTTTTAATCGAGTTTCGCGAATGGATATCGCGGTTAATGGCTTCCACTGCACTGGCATACACCCCTTTGATAGAAATATCTTCAGTGATTTAGATTTCATTGGTTCCGACATGACGAATGTTACAGAAAGTCAATCAGCAACAGAATCATCGCTCTCACATTCTCAACTAACCGAACCGACACCTTCAACATCTGCTTGTTCAAATCAGTCAAATTCTATTTCTACACAGCGAGAACTTACATCCATTTCCTCTCGACAACTTGGATCTCAAACTCCAACTTCTAATTTATTAGCTGACATTACAACTTCTATACAATCCGAGACTCAAACTACTCCTACTCACGCCGAATCTGAAATTTTATCTATTCAACAAGTAGAAACTCAAACAGAAGTTATTGCTGATAAATCCAGAGAAAATTTTAAAGCTGCACTTACAGAACTGTCACCGGTTCCTGATGCTTCCAAAAGAAGAACTACTGTAAGACGTCGTAAAGCTGAAAGAAGTGAAATTATAACAAGTTCTCCATACAAAAGGATGCTGGAAGAGAAAAGGGCAGATAAAAGGAATGTCGAACAACTTAAAAAGAAAGTTAATGTTTCAGAAAAAGATGTTATTAAAAAGGGAAAAAGCTTGCTGTCAGGAAGAGATGTCAGTAAGAAAACAAAAACAAATAAAAACGAAAACCTACCTCCTCCTCGTAGATCGATTGAAGAAACAGTTTGTCCTTTGTGTGCCGAATCTCACGAAGAGGATTGGATACAATGTGGAAACTGCAAGATTTGGGTCCACGAGGCTTGTGCAAACGTATCAGAGCTATCTGATCAGTATATTTGCGATTATTGTATTGTATAAATGGTTACTTAATCACTGGCCGGTACTGGAGGCCAATTTTTTTGAGTCTGATTTTTTCTAGTGTTCGAATTGCAATAATAAAGTTGATTACTTCTGAACCTACTAGTTGTTTATTATTTATATTAATAGCATAATAGTTCCTTTACACATATCAGAAGGTTTTAAACATGTAACCATAAGTATTTTGATTTTTTTGTTGATAAACCTTAAGGTGACGGTATTGGAGGACTCTCCCCTACAAACTAATCTGATGTACCTATTAAAGTCTACTTTAAACTTTAAATCAATAAATCTTCAGAACTACTGAACTGAAGTA